CTAGACATTTAAACAGCCAAAGAGCGGTGTTGAGGTGGAAACACCGTCGGCTGTTGAAAATTATACGAGGTTGTGTCATTCTATCATGGAGCATTTCCTGTGAGCTGAGGGGTCGGATTTTCTTTTTAAACCTAAACACCGCCGTGCCCGGTCCTCCTCTCATGTAAGCAGATGTCCCAAGGTCAAACTTACTGACCATCTATCTGGAATGTACATAAGCCTAGGAGATGAAATGGGACGACATTGTCCGTGCAGTGCGTGCATGCAAGGTTTGATAATTGAGATGGTGTGAAACTCCGCTCCGGCTGTGGCGAACGGAATAAGAAGCAAGCATGGGACGTACTTATATGTCGTATGCGCACTCTCTTGCTTTACCCTCCTCCATTTCAAGACCTGTGGAGGAATCTGCACATACCCATATCCTTCCATGCCAGTTCTCGTAAATATGATTCTCATCCTCAAACATTTCTTCGCCGCCTGTCTCCTTGTCACTTCGGCCACGGCCGTCCCGCAGATCGTCGATCTTTCATACAGACAGTACCGCGGGCAAGAGCTTCAAAATGGGCTCACCCAGTGGCTCGGGATTCAGTACGCAGCTCCCCCGATCGGAGACTTGAGATTCCGTCCTCCCCAGGACCCTCCAGTCGTCCAAGGCGTACAACATGCATACCACGTAAGTGAACCTTATCCCACCCAAACAAAGCCTCCACGACTAACGAGAGCCATGCTTTTAGTACGGCCCTGTATGCCTCCGAACCGGCCAGGACCCTTACTACAAAGAAACATCCGAAGACTGCCTCTACCTTGACGTCATGGCCCCTTCCAACGCCACGGAAACTTCGAAGCTCCCCGTGATGGTTTGGATCCAGGGCGGGGCCTTCAACGCCAACACCAGACCGCACTTCAACAGCTCCGGCCTCATCGCCGCGGCCCAGTACGACATGGTGGTCGTCAACTTCAACTACCGCGTCGGCCTCTGGGGCTTCCTCACCAACGGGGACAGCATCACGGCCAACAACGGGCTCCGGGACCAGCGCAAGGTCCTCGAGTGGGTGCAGCAGCACATCCACAAGTTCGGCGGCAACAAGGACCACGTCGTCCTCGTCGGCAGCAGCGCGGGCGCCGCCAGCGTGAGCATGCACATGATGGCCGACAACGGCACCGACCGCGGCCTCTTCCACGGCGCGACCCTTGCCTCCGCCTCGTACGCCACCATCCTCACCATCGACGAGTCCCAGTACCAGTACAACAACCTCGCCATCCGTCTGGGGTGCACCGTCAAGGACAGCCTGGCCTGCCTGCGGAACAAGACGGCCGTGGAGATCCAAGAGGTCAACACGTACAACCTGCCCCTGCCCCAGGGTGCCAAGCCGCCCCTGTACCAGTGGCTGCCCGTACTCGACAACGAGTTCATCCCCGACTACCCCTACCGCGCCTTTGCGGAGGGGAGGGTGATCAAGGTGCCCACTATCATCGGGGACGACAAGAACGGCGGCACCACCTTCACCGAGGAGACCACGGCGAGTTTGGTCGACAGCAACCTCTGGATCGCGAACCAGTACCCGACCATCACGCCCGATATGTTTGGCGAGGTCAACAGGCTCTACCCGAACACCAACAACACATGCCCGAATGCGGGGTGCTACTGGAGGCAGCTGAGCGACGTGTACGGCGACATAAGGTTCATGTGCCCGGCGCTGTTCATGTCGTCGCAGCTTAGAGCGCTGGGCTCGTCCGCATCGTACTCGTATCTCTGGAATGTAGAGGACCCGGACCTCATGAGAGAGGGACTAGGCGTCCCGCATACCGTCGAGACGGACGCTCTGCTGGGGACCGAGTACGGCAAAGAAGACGCGCCCGAGAGCTACAAGCCGGGAGGTATCAACGAGATGGCCTCCCCGATCATGCAGGGCTACTGGACGAGCTTCATCCGGTCCCTAGACCCGAATAAGTATCGTTATCCCGGGACAGCAGAGTGGCGCAACTGGGAGACGGGATCGCCCCGGCGGATCGTGTTCGGTACGAAGGGGAAGACCGAGATGGAGGAGATCCCTCCTGAGCTTAAAGAGAAATGTGAGTTTTGGGTGAAGTATGGGGTCCAAATGCTGCTGTAATTAGCACAGTCTTGAGAAGCCAAAATGAATCGTAAAGGGAGCGTTTTTGCCTTATTCAATCATTGACTTTCTGTGGAGTAATGTCAAATCCAAATATTAGAACAAATTGTGATCAAACTCGATGCCGTGTCCGCTTGACAATTAGAAACGTAAAGTCCAACCTCTGGTAGTCCAACCCTTTGCCTCGTTTCTCGCCTTTCTTCTCAGACCACACATCGGATAAAATGAACCGCCCAAGTAATCATGAAACGTTGCTGGTCCCGCTACTGCCACTCAATCCAATGATTCTCCCATCAGTAGGCACTGGAGAAAGTCCAGCGTGGCAAGCAATGTCGTTAGCAGTCCATCCTCGGCAAGCTTGAAGATCTGATGCTTGCGGATCGCCTCCTTGCCGAATTCGCGCTCAATCTCGGGATCATCGTCGTAGTCAAGCTCCTCCCGGAACTGGACCAAGTGGCTAGCGACATCACGGAGTATGTCCGGGCTGAGGGAGGCGAACGCTGGGTAGGAAATCTGAGCATCTTGCGCATTGGGACTGATGGATGATTCGATCCAGTCCGAACCGGTGTTGGTCAAGCTGGTCGAGATGACAGCACTCAGAGTATCGAGGGTCTCCATGGCCCTGAGAGCGTCGTTTCCATTCTTGCTCTTGAAGCTGTCGAGGTTACCGTTAAAGATGGGATTGACGAGGGTAGAAGTGGCCTGGAGCTGGTCTTTGAGAGCGTACAGTTCTCGGCGGATGTTAATAATCTCCGGGCGAGGATCCTGACGACGGCTCTCGGCATTGCTTGACTCAGAATCAAACTCGGGAAAGGTCATGAACTTGGTCTGGAACTCAGAGAAATCACTGGCACAGGTATTAGAAACAGCTGGGGGGTTTACGACAATGACAGGACAGCACATACAGTTTCATAATGGGGAGAAATTCAGTCAGGGTTTCAGAGAGGTCCTCAAGTCCAACCAGGTAGTCAACGAATGCGGCGGCGACGGCTGGTGTGGTCGTATTATTCTCTGAACTGGCATGAGCAAGCTCAGCCTGTGTTCGCACCTCGCTTTGAAGATCAATCATGCAAGGCTCGAGGCTATCCATCCAACTCATCAGCCCGGTGTGCAAAGGAATCTGATCTGCAGCCAGGGCCTGGCCATGTCTCGTCCAGTGTTTGGAGTATGCGGCGAGGATAGGTTCCAAGTCGTCGAAGTGATCGGAGAGGACGTGCAATGCGTCCTGGATTTTACACACTATCGGGACATTGAACGAGGGAAGGTCAATGATGGTCTGCTGCAACTCCTCCCTGAGCTCTTTGACGAGCACGGCCAGAGATTCGAGGACCGCATGATGCTCGACAGGGTTTTCGGATGGATCTCGAACCGTGCCCTCGGAGGTTTCGGATCGGGCATCTCCTTGGTCGTCTTGATCGTCGGGGCCTGTCGGTTCCTCTCTTCTTCCAAAAACATCACTGTCCTGAGACAGAGAAAGCGGGTATTGGCTCGTTGGCAATGGGGAAGTGCCTAGCCCGAGTGTGGCAGGTCGAAGCGGCAGGTCGATTGTGGAGGTGTCATTAGCGCTGTGGGTAGCAGGAACGGTCGCATTCGACTTTCCGGGGAGGGCTGCATCTGGATGAAGTGATGATGTAGTTGTTGGTGTATCTGCTGCTGTGGGCGGGGGTGCTCGGGAGCCGACTTTTACGATGCTCGCTTCATCTTCACTGGACTCGTCGTCGGAGGTGGGCAGCGATCGGACTGACAGGTTGCTGTCCAGGTCCTGCCAGTCGTCCTCGATCTCGGGGCGGATGACGTGGGCTGAAGCCATGGAGACGACGGTTTTCAACAACTCGTTTGGGGCATGCGGCAAGCGGATCACACCGCGCAGTCGATCGGATGGGATGGAAACACGGTGCCGGACGATGTGTTGAAGAAGTTTGGTCGAGGTGGAGGAGGGGCAATCGACACGCAAGTAGGTACGCAAGAGCTTTGTTGGTCGAGGGTAGGTGGTGAGGCTGACAAGCCACCTCACGTTTCACGGGCTGCTGGACGCCTGAGCTGGACGCCTGAGAGACGGTGTCCTTTGGAGGGAGCCATTGGTGCTGCAGGCTCCATCGATGTGCATTGCTGATGGTGATACGGCAAGGCAACCACCAATACGCTTTCTGCCAGAACGCCTTTGATCTGCTGGCTGGAGGTTAGTTCGCCCATTTATACTGGACGGCTCGGCGGGCTAAGGGAACGGTACCCACTGGAGCTTGCCCAAGTTACCCGAGGGCCCAGCGGGGATGCCCCTGGCTTATGGCCTGTTTTCTGGGCTCTATTGCCGGGCGTGCAGGGGTCCAGCAGGTTGCCTTTGAGCCGGCAGCCCATTGCGGACCATCACCATCCGCGTCACCACAGGCGAGGCGTCTTGAAGGGCTTCGACTAATTTCGTTGGTAGTTGCATGCAAATCGCCTATCTAGAGGCTGTCTTGAACCCCATCTACCTTAGATCTCATTATTTATCATAATATATGAAGGAGTCGTAAACACATACTGGCGAGTGACTACCCTACCCTACGCCTGACCCTTTTCTATTTAATTGTAGTTGTCCCATCTTTGCCATAAGGGACTTGATGATTTCTGATGACTTACCTAGGTAGAAGCATGTTTTTAGATGAAGGATAAAACTGTTGATTAACGCTAAGTAAGATGTTGGTCAACCAAACACAAAGGAATACAAAAGCCATGATTCAGCGCGTAGTCTAGCGAACTGAAAATCCCCTATTCTTCCCTTGAGCATTTACTAATTCACACAATATTCTTTTTCAAGACCTTTGATACTAAGCATGATAGATAAATTAAAACAACAGACTTAACCTGATCGTTTATGAATGGAGACTCTGATTGTAATCTTCCCTCTCACATGGTCGTGATCTCAGACTCTGGCAAGACTTGGAGAAGTCCCCTTGCGTCTTGTTCAGACGGCATCAGAACTTGCCACATCCCACAACGTGTGTAGACTCCACTTTCAAGCTTGAAAAGAGCCATCCCATACATGTAGACTTCGCGGGTCTGGTTCAAGGTCGGAGTCAAACAGATTGGGAGCAAAACAGTCTGAGCCTGCTTCTTCATATCCTCTTCGGTATCAAAGCGAATATACCACTCGTACAGGTGACCGGCGTCCTCCGGTGCCTTGACAAGACAGCCGCCTGAGTTACCGTCTTTTAGCTCCAAGACGTTCATCTGGGTGCCATATCTAGCTGTGAGAACATATTGAGGCAGGCCGTAATCGTTGTAATCGTCATAGGCCAGCTTCCCAGTCAGTAACTTCCCCTTCAGAGTGAGTCTACCAGAGATAACTGAATTAATCTCATTTGAAGTGCAGTTGGCATCAATAAGCTCACAGAGGCCGCCGTTCACAATCCCCTCCATTTTCCGGTTGTCATATCGAATGACACCGTGGACGGCAGCCCAACTCCACGAAGGACCTTGAAACTCGGTCGGTCGTCGATCTGCAACGCCCTCCACAGTCCAGACAAGAGCCTTAGGCAATGTGGCCTTCCACATCCCCGCAAGATATGTATCATCACATCCATGTTCCCGAAGTTGAGCCTTTGTACCTACGACAGCACTGTCGACACAATTCAGCCTCTGCTCTGGTGCTGTCGCAGTACATTGAGTGGACGTGCGCAAAAGGTTAAACCAACGATCCAGAATATATGCTTGAGGGTCGACTCTTGCGTAGTACAGTGGCAGGACCATGACAATTGGTTTCCAAGCTGGTTGTGGTAGCACCAAGTCGGCATCTTTGTTGCTCCCTTGTACTAAACCTTGATACGACTTGAGTAGGAGCACCATGTTCTCAGGTGATATTTCACTGCATCGGGCACCATGGCACTTCCAGTATACAAGCGAGCTTGCAAAATGGACCATCCTCGGTGTCAAGAGACGTTCTCGCAACCCCTTTGCAGTTTTAGCTCTCGAAAGTTTGTCAGATTTGGATTATCGAGTTTCACCAAGCCTTTGGTCCCGTCCGCGTCAAGTTGGAGCTCTAATATGGTAGGCACAACGAGCTCTGCTTTGCGCTTGACGAATAGTCCGGAGGAAGGCACAGCTGATCCCATGGCACCAATTCCACAGAAGCTATTTGAGAAAACATTCTCCACCTCTTCGTGAGAATGCGACTGCAGCCTGTCCTGAGGAATACAGAGGTGGTCGACCCATAGATGGCGAAGACCTAAACGAGCAACCACAGTAAAGGCATCCCTGTAAATCAATGGAAGAGTTGAAAGACTTTGAGGCCGAGAGAGAGTCTCTAGTGTAGACGTGGTGAGATGCAGACTGTTCTCTTCGAACCTGTGACAGTGACTGAGCGTACAGTAGCGCACACTAGCTCGGGTTTGAGGATCGATTTGGTCGGCCGACGCAAGGTGAAATAATCCATTGGTATCATCCAACTGGAGAAGATATTGTGGTATGAAAGGAGTCGTCTGGCTGCATTGTTGATGAGATTGAACACAAGTATCCACCCATCTCTGGACGAGGGCTAATGTCGACGCATCCCCAGTTGATGGACTGACTTCGAGATTGAAGTCTTGGGTTGAGGCTACAGTTTTGTTAATTATTTGGGTGAGTGCGCGGGTAAGAAGTTCAAATACCATTGAACACTGTCAAAGATAGGCCACCTGTGTATACCCTAGACTTGAATATGCCCATGATAGGATTGGTTTTCCCGAGGTCGATATTAAACAAGGAGAAGTATCCCAGAATGGTCTGATCAATGTCCTGGCTCCCATGCCCAGACCTACAACACAAGACGCAACCTTGAGCAACGGACCGGTTGTAGGACTCTAAAGTCAAATGGTGACCGAACATGTATTGCGATGGGTGCTGATTTGTATCAATGAACGCAGTAGGTAGAGGGATGCGAGTCTTGCTGTCATCTTGAGGGAAATTCTCATTAAACTCTTTGATCCCACATACCCGCTTCGTCTGGGAGGGGTCCCAGATGCCCGTAAGAGCTTCCCTGCATATGGTACAGAGCATAGTGAGGGGTATTTAGTTAAGACTTTGATAAATCTCAGGTGGAATGCGAGTAAAGGTAGGCAAGGAAGATGATGCAAAGAGTTATGATCTGAACGAACGAGGAGAGACAGCCAACTCAGCACATATTTATACTGTGACTCATTTAGGTTGCATGACCGCTCTAACCAAGGTGAGAAATCAACTGGCTGTTGGTAGATGTTATGCTTGTTGTATGCAGTAATAAACACAAGGCAGAAACCTGTTGCTTTGATTGCCCCGCCGAGTATTGTTGGTGCTGACATGCATTCGGGATACCTGAGAATCCAGTGAAAGCTACAAGATATAGAGTGGCTGCTTTTAGACCGGAAGTCAACAATAGAGAGATAAATCCAGCACCTCAAGTAGTCAAATCAGACATGATCTGGCAGGATATCGATTATTCTATCGACAGTATCCGAACGAACACAACTTCTCAAGCGTGATCCAATATTGCAGGAATCTGAGTCAATTGCTCTGAGGAAGTGCAATACAACTTTGTCAGGTGCGGAGAGATTTCGAATATCTAATTCATTATAATCATGGCTCGCTGCGCTCAGTAGCAAATCAATATTGCCGTGTTGAAAGAGACGCTGTCCAGTTCGTTCCGATGAGTTGGAGGTGTGCCAAGTTTGCAATTAGCTTATGAGCTACTTGCTGTGCAGAATGGGTACCCTCTTGTCAGCTTACGAAATGCCACCCCTGGAAGCAAGGCAATATCATATTCACTCAACTACCTACATATCTGGGAAAACATACCATTTTCTCAATATATCACGAAGAAAGCTGTCCCATCGCCATGTCTCGGACGTTATTCTCCAGCTCAATATACCAAAGTCTCAATTCAAATACAAGCGAAATCCGCCTCATAAACATCCTTCCAACGCTGGACGAGGGCGGGCGGGTGCAGTGCAAAATCCTTCATGCCTCGTTGGACAGCCAGGCAATCGGGTACACAGCTCTGTCCTATGTCTGGGGAGATCCATCAGTCACCAAAGAAATCATTATCGAGGATGCTATTTTCAATGCGACTGCAAATCTCGCATCAGCCTTGCAGTTCATGCAGGCTTCACTGCCGAGGCTCCCGGATGGAAGCTGTTTAGTATGGGCCGATGCCATTTGTATCAACCAGACAGATGACTTGGAGAAGACTTCTCAAGTGAGAATGATGGACAGGATATACAAGGAGGCAAAGGAGGTAATAGCTTGGCTTGGACCAAGGAGCGATGAAGTGGAATTGGGACTTCAGTTGCTCAACGATATTGGAGGAAACATGAGGACGGTAGAAGCCTCCGAGTTGATGCGCCGATATCCACAGTACTGGGAGGCGGCCGATCCCTCGCCTCCAGCCTACAATAAATACTGGAACAGCCTCGATAAGTTCCTAGATTTGCCTTACTGGAGTCGCAGCTGGACTGTCCAGGAAATGGTTCTCCCACGCACTCTATGGTTTCAGATCGGAGACAAGACCCTCGGATGGGAGACCCTGAAGGGAATGGTTGCTCTGCAGATGGCAGTAAGTCGGGGCATGCTCAAGATCCCTAATCCACGCTCGAATCTCGCAGTGCACCTTGAGATGGGTTCGCAGGCCTACCTTCCCCTGCGACTGGTCAACCACTGCAAGGTTCTGCAACAGCAGCCACTTGATGATTCTCAACAAAACTTGGTACTATTCTCCGAAACTATGGGCCAGTTGGCCACAGATCCCCGGGACAAGTTATTCGCTTTCTATGGCCTCAATATCAGCCCGATAGAGCCAGACTATACCAAGGATATTCGGCAAACGTACGGCGCAGCGGCAACTTCCTGGATGAGATCTAGAGGGTTAGACCCTTGCTTAAAGTTTTCAGGTCTCTGTTATGGTGATCATTCAGACTTCAAGCTTCCTTCATGGGTCCCTAACTGGGATACATTGGCTCGGCCTGATGTTGCTGTAGCAAGGCAGCTTAATGACAACTTCGGAAATTACGAGGCCAACAAAGGCCTCCCGGAAGGAGTCACGGGTGTGGATGACGAGTTTACGTTGCACGAGGTTGGAGTCATGCGTGGCGCTGTTGACTGGGTAGGAGGCGATCCCACAGAGGCACAGCACCAAGGTGTGAAGGGATTCCAGAGTTATCTGATTTCTACAATGGAGAGCTTCACAGATGCGATTGATCAAGCGAAGAGCGCTGTACCCCCTTTGCAGCTTATTTTGCGAACCATCATGCTGGACAGAGTGGAAAGCACCAACCAGATAATCGCGGGGACTGAGAAGCTATACAAAGACTATAGTCGTGTGGACCAGCTTTGCCGGGCCTTTCTGAATGTCCTTTCGAGAGCTCCCGGAAAGAGTCCGACTGTCGAAACCATGACAAGGACCCTTAAGCTATGCCAACGATGGGGCTATGATCCTCAGTATGAGACATTAGTCAACTTTTGCCGGAGCCAAATTTTCTGGGGCCATGAGGTTCCGGAGGCCATAACAGGCAACTCCTTGACCCGCATTACATGGAGGTGGATTCAGGTGCTCAAATGTCGATATATGTAAATGTCAGTAGAGGGCTGTTCTGCGGTCGTGTTTTTCGTGCCTCGGATGGGAGCGTAGGTCTTGGCCCCTTGAATATTCTGCCTGGGGATCAACTCTGCATCTTGAGCGGCTGCTCATTTCCGGTTCTCTTGCGCAGGATGCCATCGGAAGTTGGGGAGACTTACTCTTATGTTGGCCCTTGTTTTGTTCACGGCTTGATGTACGGCGAGGTTGGGGAGGCAGTAGCTGCTGAGGTAGCAGAGCTAGATGTTCTTGAGATTCGATAAACCATGTCCCAGCGAGAAAATGGAGAAGATGCGATAGGAGGGCTCGAAGATGTTGCCTATACTGGCATGTTTTTATCTTGCATAGCATACAAGTAACGATCACTGTGAGCTTTTCTTTTGGGTTTACAATACTGTAAAATAGTGACCCTTTTGCTGACAGGAATGCGTTGAGAAAGATGAAGAATTGGTAATAGGGCTGCTGAGTTATCCATTCATAGGCTCGTATCTGTGGTAGTGGCTGATGTAGAGTAGCCGTCTATTCATAGTGTTGAGATTTCGGGCTCTGGAATCTCCCATCGCTGTTTACTTTGTACTCGAACTCTCTCACGTAGAGTAGTCGTCGCCGGACTCCTTCTATTAGCTAGAGGGAAGGTTGACAGCCGTGGTTTTGTTTTATTATCATTGGTTTGTATCTTTCATTTAACTGCTCGGCATAACCCTTTTCCGTCTCTGTGGGTATTGTATTGTGGTATTAATTGTTTATTTTGCCTGGCACCAGCTTTCTTTCTCTTCTAATCAATTCCTAAAGCAATTCGAACTCCAACATGGCCGCACATATTTACATCAGCTTGCAGGGTATAGCATTTTGTCTCCTTATAAATAGAGCGACGCTAACATACTTAGGAAATGTCTACCGATGTGCCAAGTAAGTGAGGGAGCTGTACAGCTGCTGAAAAAAAAAGGGGAAATTCCCGAACACCAGTAATTTGATAACTTGATACTATACCTAGGCATTGTAACACAATAAACTTTAGCCTTGTGCCCGGCTACGAGCCTTGTACCCGGCCGTATCTAAGGTTCAACACTAAAATCTCGTATTGTATATAAGGTTTATTAATACCAAAGGCTGTGCTCGGCGTTGACTCCTTCGTCGGCATGACTCCTTTTGCGAACCTTAAGATGCTGATTTTCATCTATTTAAAGGCTGCTGTTGCTGGCCTGAATGAACCGCACAGCTCAAGTCCATCTGCACTTGCGACAGTATCGACAATCTGCAAATCGCTGCTCTCAAACAAGCCAAGTGCCATCGCCACCTTCGTTGCCACATAACACCACCTTCGCCGCTCCATTGACGGTTAGCTACATCAACCTTTGCCTTCGGAGCAGTAAAAGACTCACTCAGTCGACTCTCGCACGTTATTGCGCACACTCAAGTCTCTGAACTTGGACTCAGTCCAAGCAGAAATTTACACCATGACGAAGAAGAAAACAAAACAGAAGAAGCAGGTACTCGCTATAGTACCTGTTATCCAGTCAGGCCGGCTGGGTAATAAAGCTCTTAAGATCTGGCCTAAGGTTGATACCTACGACTATAAGCTTACCTAGTATTAGGCTTGCTAATCGTATTTAATGAAAGACAGCCAACTGCTGTATTTCGCCTTAATATTGATTTGATCAAAATGCTCCTCTTCGAAGCAGTCATTTTGACCAAGGATCTGAGATCCAAGTTGGAGAAGGCTAATAGCCTGCTTAAAGCTAAGCTCGGAGCGATTTTTAACCTCTCTAACTGCCTTAGCAAGCCCAATAAGCTTATAGTCGCTGGTATCAACCTTAGGCCAGATCTTAAGAGCTTTATTACCCAGCCGGCCTGACTGGATAACAGGTACTATAGCGAGTACCTGCTTCTTCTGTTCAGCAGCTGTACAGCTCCCTCACTTACTACTTGATGAGGCAGACTTCGTCAATCACTTCTTGTGCCCCAATACTGATGTGCCAAACGTAGCGTCGAAGATGACAAGATGCTGGAGCGATATTCAAACGCCATCCAAGGCACAGTGGCAGGTCTGTCCACAACTGACGACCGCACTTGACAAATTTTTCTAATAGGCTAATAGAATCTACATTGGACACAATATACTCGATATTTGCTGGGGATTGGCGTCAGCAAGAGGATATTGTTGACCCATTTGTTGATAGACGAGGCAAACTGATGATCAATACTGTATGGATTTTTGATCTCGACAACGATCTCCTCCGGTTTCATAAAAAGGATCACTACACTTCAGTCTCCCTCAGTCTTCTCCGCCAGCGTCCTATTTACGCTTGTGATTTCGAGCCCTACAAGCCACCAACTTCTATCCCAGCCTTTCGACCTCCTCGAGCATCGCAATGTATAATGCGGCGTAATGGGATCTACAAAGATCGCTTAGAGCGACACAAGGCCTTGGCTCAGAACATATTGACGGACTTTGGACACCAATGGAGGCACGTTCTTTCTGGCCGATTCAACCACTCGACGTTCAGAAGGCTCGCTTATGCTATTATCAAGATTGTGACGCTAGATTTTGAAGTGAAGGAGTTTACGGCACAACGACAAGGTATCGGCGGCTTCTTGGTCTGGTTGAACAATCTTCCGGTGTGGGAGCCATTCAGCGGACATATTGTACGAGTAGGCGGGGCATCTATTGTTTTATCACAGCACCCTTGCCATGCAGTTCATCTTATCCGAGAAGTTCCAACAATACTCTGTTTCAAAAGTAGAACACGACATGTCCGTGGTCGGGGATCGGACTTACCTTGTATTGTCTGTAAGAGAGGTCAGACTGTATCGTATGAATTCCATGACTGAAAGATGTACGGCGGCCGAGCGTTTGTTTGACGGCACTGTGTTGGGGGAAAAACGAACAACACCACAGCTGTTAGCGAGCTTGAAATGCAGACTGCCAACCACACCAAAATCTAACAACCTTCCACAACAGCTATGGAAAGGAGGTTTTGAGTTTTGTGTGTATTCTCATTTGATCAAATGGATCACGTTTACAGCTAGTCAATTGACCTATCGTAGCCGCCGTGAGGTTGCAAAAGACGCATCTTTCGTAAGAAGGGATTTTCAAAAGCGAAAATAAGAAGGGGTAAAAAGCATGTCTTTTACTACGGATACAGAAAAATAGCTAATTTATCTAACCTGGCCGAATTGACAAGTGGGCCCCGACTCAGCACCCTCCCTCCCTCGGATGCAGCCATTGATCAGCTCCTGCAATCCACGCTTAGTGTCAGCCATGTGACGACAGTTCGAGAACTTCCTACCGAGTTACAGGAGAAAGTCGTGGACAATTTGGCAGCAGGCCCAGTCGAAAGAGCGAGATTGCGTTGTATCCTTGATCTAGGCTCACCCTTTACCTGGTGGAGTGGTGGTCGAAGTATAGAAAGGGAAGAGGGCCGGAGGAATAGAACCTCCTCGTCCCCCGTGGAGTCTCACATATGTTTTGGAAAGTATTTCAGTGGGGCCGCATATAAGTAATAACTGAGCAATGTTCCTTCAGTGGCTAACATAAATTAAACACTTCCATCTCCCTTGATTCCATACCCTGATCCTTGAAGAATGAGCTCGTCATTTGCTCATGTAAATAACATTCCCCCATGAATCTGTATAGATGATCTTTCAATTCTTCGGAACCTTCAAAACACCAATCGTCGCCTTCAAATTTGGTTTCTTGCCTCACTGGGCGTACCACAAAAGGAAGACGAGATCCGAAAAGCGCAATGATAACGTCACCGGAACGTACGTCAGGCGAGCAAAGTCCCATCCGCTCATCCTCAGTGATAAAAAAGCATTTACCCACGCCGCGGCATTGTAGTGGGAATAATTTTGGTTGTGGGACGGGCCTTTCAAACAGTTCGCCTTTTAGGATCTCGGCAATCCTTGGCGGAGGAAACATAAAGTGAGGATCATTCTCTCCCCAGCACATTGCTATGCTGGTCGCCATGGTTTTGTCACTCCAGGGACCATCGGGTACTGCATCATCTTGATGATCCAAGGAGTTCTCGCCGCGATAGGTTGGGCTTAGGAGAAGAGTCTCCAGAAAGTCTCGAAACATGAGCTCATCTTTCCCGTTGTATCTCCCCCCTTGCCTGCCTAACCATTCTTGGGAGCTCAGTGTTCCGCCCTCTTCGTCGTCGATGATGATAGCTGGTGACTCGTTTTTACGAATCATTGACCAGAGAAGAGGGATACCGCCTTTAAATACGCCACGGTTGTAGGGATGACTCAATACCATAGCGGGTAGCGCTCGGTCTGTCTTCATGTCTTTTTCTAACACCTCTGATCCCCATTTTTTAGATAGCAACGAGTTCTCAACAGTAGTTTGTATACATATAAGTGGCATTTGGAAAACGGACTTGACCTTTCCAATCCGTATGCCCCCGAGGCTTACAAGTCGGTGAGTTAGGTCCTCAGGAATTTTAATGACTGGATGAGTAGCGAGCTGGAAGAGACGAACTTGTCTCTGTGTGGCTAGGTCAAAGTCAGGTTCTTTCGCTAGGCTGCCCTGAGTCCAGATTCCTCCACCTGTAGGCCAAACGGCCCACGAAGGATGGGACCTGGCATCAAGATATGACTGGGTAGGCGATTCATGAACCATAAACCTGACCAGATCGTCTGGCAGGATTCGACGAGGCCCGCTGGCAAGTAGACCCAACACATCAAGATTACCCGAGTATCGAATGCACCATACGGTGAAGTTGGAAAAGACCTCGGTTACGGTCTTGTTGTAATCTGGGGCTAGCTCTTCCCTTGATCTCGTACCATTTTGAGTCTCCAGGGCAAAGTCGAGTAGCGCATAGAGCTTGTCGCGTGGGTCTGTAGCTTCAAATTCCGTATAGGTATGCTCGAAGAGGTTATACAGCCTTCCTAGCAAGCTGCATGCTTTCCGATTGTGTGGCTTCTTTTCGCCGTTCTTCTGTTGAAAATCTCTCATATGAAGAAAATGCTTTCGTAATAATGACCCCCAGGCGATCGGAAGAGTGGGCTTGCCGGTAAAATACAGAGTTTCCCGCAACTGATAGCATCGCTCAGCAACAAGTATATAGCTCAAAGGAACCTGTGCGTTGGTGATATGGATGAAAGTCAACTGGGGGTTACATGAGGCCTCCTGAAGAACCCAAATTCGCCGAAAGTACGGGTTATTGAAAAAACGTCCCAAGACTTGGAGACAGCCCCCTGGACCCAAGTTCTCGTTTCCAAAGTTGTATCCGCCAGATGACAGGAATGTCCCAAGTTGTTCGTCTGTTGGGTTCAAGATATCGAATTCATCTCCATACCTCTCAGACAGCACCCTTACGAGGCCCATAATGATGTGTAGTCCGCGCACGACATCTTCATCCTCGCCCATCCAGATGAGTACGAGCAAAGCCTGGGAGTATGTACTTCTCATTATACTAACCTGGCTGTTTCTTTCTTCAATATCGCTTTGGTTGATACATAGAGCATCAACCCATAGAGGCTGGTAGTCAAATAAAGGAAACCTTTCTTCGATCTGGGCTTTCGACTTTCGGAGGCTCTTTAGGGCCTGATAGAGCGACTCTGTTACATTGAATGTTTTCTTAGAAGTCACATTGACAGCAACGAGCTGAACTCCGTCTTCAGGCTCTTGGACGATGCTATCATCCGGTTGGTCGAAACTGTGGTGGACGAGACTGATGCTACGCTGCCGCGTCATGTCTCCCCAACAGTACGATAAAGCGATGTACGCAATCCGACCAGTCTTGGCGATCGGGTCACTCAGCACACAGACAAGCTCCTCATCGTCATTGTCAACGTCCTTTGGAGGGAGAACCTGTAACAGCCGAATATTTTCTTTACCAGGTTCGGTGCTTAGTGACTTATACGACGAATAGTCGTTTGTGATTCGTCGCTTTGTGATCTCAGATCCGTCTTCGATATCTGCAGGTATCTTCTTTGTCGTTTGCATTGAGTTCTGACCGAGTTCCTTAGATCCAGGCTGGCATTTAGCCTGAGGTTCCAGTAAACTCTCATCCATGGAAATGCCGTCGTCAATCAATCTACACCGTAGTAAAGTGAAAATGTTTATTATGGGAGGACTGATGAGTGACGAATGTGCTCAAGGGCTAGTGGGGAACATTTGAGGGAGAGTCGGTGTGGATTTATTCAAATGCTGACAGCTTTTTTGCTCCGCATCCACGTTTTTGCCGCTGATTATGACGCGTTCCAGGTATTTGAAACGTGTACCCTGTCGCATAAACAGTAAACGATGCTGCCGTAAGGCGAATACACACAAATATCCCAGCCAATTGGCTAATAAATTGTTCCAAGTTTTCTCTTAAGAGTAAGAATTTAGGCTCTCTGTAATAAAGATACATTTCATTATAGTCTTCACATGTGAAAGTAATGTACGAAAAATCTCCATAGTGAGGTACCACAGACTTTGAGCTTATATAATTATCTTTCTGATGCTCCGGAGCTATCATCCTACCTGGGATGCTCTGTGTATAACTACTTTGAATCAAAGGCCTTGATTGAGTTTTGAATTAGTCTGTAAGCGGGGTATGACCATGGAAAGTCTTTCCTCGCCAAGTCCAAAGCTGTAGTGCCATCCTTTCTTGAAATCCGTGGATCTGCGCCGCTCTGCATTACGGCTTCCACAGTGCTAAAGTAGTGCTCGCTGTTTGTCACTGAGGCTGATAGAAGTACCAGTAAAGGTGTGTCTCCCTCGGAATTTTGACCATTGATGTCTACACCCAGAGACACTAACTTTTTTATTGACCTGTTAAACGAGTCCTTCGATGTCGTCCAAAGATACTTGAGGCGCAACATATGATGCAGTATGTTGGATCCGTCTGAGAACACGATGAGAGGATTCACTCCATGATCAACAAGATGCCAGAGCGTGTGGTCCTCCATCGGCACTTGGAGCAACTTGGACGTGTCAGTGGGCATAAGACCAGCAGACACGCAGTGAATTACTATCTGGTCGTACCGACCACTGCTCATTTTCAACAGAAATGAGAGAAGGTCCAATCTGTCAAACTGGATAAGATGGCGGCGACGCTGAATAATAAGAGCCAAGATAGGATATGGCGAGCCTCCATTGGATAGCAATCGAAATGAACGTGCTAAATCACTCGCAATCTCCTTATATTGCGTCTTGAAGAACTTTGGACTTTGCTTGGGGAATCTAATTCTGTTGACTCCGATCAACTGCTGTTCAGGATCAATGTAGAAACACCCACTTCCAAGTAAGAAGAGTGCAACGCTTTGATAAGGGTCCAATCGGTACCGGGATGTATAAAATCCAAGCAGAAACTCCACAACCTCCTTTTCCCCCTGATCAACTGCCATATGTAATGCAAGAAGGCCGTCTTCGTTTTTGACTTTTGTTTCCACACTGAGTCCTTTAGCGATGAGTGTTTCAACTAATGGAAGATAGCCTCCCAGTGCAGCGAGGTGGAGCATGTTGAAGCCTTTTTCTGTCACTTGGAAAGGATCTGCTCCGCGCAGAATCAGTTCATTTGCAAGCTCAAAATGTCCAAACGAGGCTGCTATCAGAGCAGGTGTCCCTTCTGAGGATTTCACGTCAAAATGGCCAGACATATCAAACGAGAGAAGCTCCCGAACAATCAACTCGTCGCCAACGTAGGCCGCAACGTGAAACGCCGACCTTCCCTGGTGAATTTCGAAAGGCGCATCGCTGCACTTCATGAAATATGACCTGATACATTTCAGATGGCGTGCTAACACAGTAAGCTGGAGATTCTCACACAACCTTCTGTTAATCCCAGGACAACGGGTTTCCTGGCAGCAAGGGCACTTGAGCTCTTCACTAGTAGCATGCTCCTTCGTGGGAAGACATATGGCCCAATCCGCCATAGGAGAAGTAAATGTTGGAGGAAATTGACTCCTTGGGGGCGAGTATCGTCTCTTCCTATGTACTGGGAAGGGAGCTTTTAATTCCTGGAGAAGCTCGATCATCTCTGGGTCATCATCCAAGCCAATGATATCTGCTGTGGTCCTGTTGAAGAAATCACGTCGGCATAGGTTTGCGCGCCGGGAGTGCAGTAGCTCTGCGAATGCAACATGGCCTTGCCGGACTGCATGAAACACTGGAGTGAAGCCAATGCAATCTCTCAGTTCAATATCGGCTCCTGCGTCCATCAGCAACTCGCCGATCATCGTGTTACCGTAAATTGCTGCATAGTGTAGAGGTGTCCGTCGATCTCTATCCCGGACGTCGATAATAGGTCGTTTCTCCGTAATGAATTTGGTCAAAACTGGAGGCCATTCCCAAGTTGCAATATAATGAAGAAGCGAGAGCCCTTGCTTGTCTCTTCCAAACTCACGTATTGGACTAAGTAGCATCAGCTCCAGGATTGCCTTTGCGCCCGAGTTGGCAGCAACGTGCACTGGAGTCCGCCCATGTTTGTCGCGGATGAGAAGGTTGGCTCCCTCCTTGAGCAAGAACTCGACAGCTCGTAGGTTTCGATGTTCAGCCCCTAGATGTAAAGGGGTACTGCCATCAAAGTCTTGAACGTTGATCAACCCCTGTTGAACTTTGGAAAGGTTCGACTCGGCGTAGCTCCAACCCGAGAACGCCGCCCAGTGCAGGACCGTCCGTCCTCGTGTATCTTGTTCCTGGCTTTCTAGTCCAAAATTGATTCGAAGGTGCTCAAGCGTATCGGCCCAGTCTTGTTGTGCACAAAGGTTCATCAGGTTGAATCGGCCTTCGTTACTGAGGCGTACAACATCGGCCCGGGGTACAGACGAAAGCAATTCCTTCAGTTCTTGCTGATTTCCAAAGTATGCCGCTCTAGTAAGCATGTTCATTCCATCTTGACCAAGAGTAAACATCTGAGACCGATCTCTGGAAACTAAAATTTTGCGTACCTCCGTCCAGCCCTGGAGACTGGCGAGGGCTAGAGCGTTTGTTCCGTTGCCGTCAGTCGTAGAGACATCGAGCTTCTCCTCCAGGCTACGGTTTAGAAGCTGCATTGCAGCCTGATACCCATCCCCTCTGCCAAGGGCAGATATTAAAGGTGATACCCCATCCACATCCAGAGCATTTACATCAAGGTCTTCCCTTTCCAGCAGGGGAGGGAGTAAATGCACAAGTAGCTGGCCGTGAGAAATGATACTGTGCAGCACAGTACGGTCTCTCATCCCTTTGCAGTTGATGTCTACCTTTGGGGACGAAATGAGTAGTAGAAACGCCTTCTCATCTTTGATTGAGAGGTGAAGTGGCTTGCTCCTGCCGGCGAGGCCAACATTTGGATCGACTCTGGGATTGAGAAGTAGGAACTTCATGAGCTGATATCGACTTTTCCTGACCGCCCAGGCTAGCGGAGTGTACCCTTTTCTATCGATCTTGTTCAAATCTCCATCAAGAGTCTTGAATATTTCTAGAAAATCTCCCAACTGGGCCAGAAGATGCATTGGAGGGTAGTTGATCTCGAGGTCAGGTTGCAGACGAAGTCCATGGTTTCGAAATTCAAGTTCGAGTTTTGAATAGAGTTGGTAGAAACCTTGGAGATTTTCTTCTGTAAAGAAACTGGCCGCGGATTGAACGACTTCAGGCTCCTCTTGAACCTTTTCTAAATGGCTGTTAAAGTTTTCCATAGCGTATAACAACAAAGGCAGTTGTGGTATATCAGCGGAGAGAAATTGGCTATCCTGGCCAATATTTGGGCCCTTCTGGTCCCGCTTGAAAACTACGATCTCACCGCTGTGTTTCTTCCAGTCCATGAAGGTGAGAACTTTGAAGCAGACCCAATTCGCAAAATACTCGCAGCCCAGAACAGAGGAGCGAAATTGCATGATAAGCTCTTCATCCATGGCATCCGTCCTTTTCTGCGTCAAAAATTCTCGGAAAGAATGATGCCGGAACTGCACAGAGCCTACTGAATCAACAGATAAGAAAGGCATGCTGAATCTTCGTAGCACCCGCTCAAAATTGAAACCAAAGTTGCTCTGGACCTGTTCGTAAGACCGATGTTCTTCAGTAATGGAGACGGCAAAATGAATGTCGTTGATAGATAGTGGCCTTCGAGCAACAGTGAGAAGCATGAATATTTTCTTCAAAACTGGCCGGAAATCTTTGGGTACGTTGGCAAGAAGACTTGCGTAGAGGTGTCCGAGGTTGAATTCGAGTTTATCTAGTTCCAGTAGCCTTGCCTTTACCGTGGATGGGCTCCAAAGTGATATGCCCCCATAGAAGGCGGTCCAACTTAGAGAGGCGATGAGGAAGTTGGTGTTAGACCGGGCTGTTATTCCTGCTTGTATTTCAGGCAACAAATGTAGAGGGATAGAATGCTCTTGCCCGAACTGCGTTACTTTTTGTTCAATGTAATGTTGCACAATCTCATGCATCTTCTCTGAGTCGAGACATAAAGAGTTTGCGATATGAGTAAACTGTGAGGCAATGCCTGATCGGTTAGAAATGAGAATGTGGATGCGCCTGCTAATGTCATTGCCAGATATTCTCCAGATGGAATTCAATAAATCCTCTGCTGCGGTTACGGGAAGCTCGTCGACAGCATCAATGATTAACCAGAACCGAGTGTTGCTTGCCCACAGCATGACATCGGATATATTTGATGTCAATTGCTGACTCGTTAATTTGACAATTTCAACGTTGTCCATCTGGTTTCCCAGATGTTTAATAAGACCCGATTGTGCCTGGAAAATCTGGGACAGGATAGATCTCAGAACAAGACAAGCAGCAGTCTCATCCAGAGTTACTTTCCCGTCACAGAATATGTAGGAAACAACATCCGAAACATCGGCGGCTCGTTCTTTTTGCGGTCGTTCCCGCAACAGGTCGATGACATATTTTACTAGAACAGATTTGCCTGAGCCTGGAGAACCATGAACCCAAAGCCAAGAGCTTGTGCGAGCCTCAAACCAATTGAGAAAAGTAGCATCCTGTTTAACCCAATCGCAAGTCACTGGAGCGGCATTTGGGGTAGCATGGTACTTCATCAAAGGGTCAAAAGCTCCATTATTCGGATTCAGTTCTTGGAGAAATTTCGTATAATTCACTAGCGAAGAGTCTATGCCATCCCACATGTTAGCAGTTGAGAACATATCGCTGATCGTATCATAGAACATCTACAATATATCCGATACTATAGTCTTTATAAATAATTTAGAATCTCTCGACTTACTCTGTGGGGCGAATTGTTTGGGTACATATTGATCAACCAGCTCTTCTAGGCAGCTCAAGACCAGCGTGTATCCGGGATCACTCGTCGTTAAAAATTTGCAAATGTTCCGATGGTCGGCCTCTAAAGGTAGAGGAACTTCGTTTGGAAGTCGGAGGATAGCAGAATCTGACTCAACAACCTAAATGAAGAGTGAGAAATCCAGTAAAACCCGCATATCTGGAGTAGGATAGACCGTACTAAAGACTTGATGTGCTTCGTCTTGACTCTTTCGTAGAAAGTAAAAATCCGGAGACCGACTGTTCTTTGGAGAAACTGGTCCTCGATATCTTTAAGAACTCGCGACTGGGGTTCTAGATCGTTAAGCAAGCCAATACGGACAGAATCTGGAATGAAGAGATTGGAAACTTTCCCAAGCATCTTGGCCCAAGTGGCTATATCTGATCCTCGATGAGGTGTTCCAAGGAATATGACCGACTTGATTTGAGCCAGGAGGCTCCCGTATCTTGACTCATGATCATGAGCCAGGCACAAGCTCTGGTGGAGATAAAATAGGTATCAGTAAATGGAGATGAGTTGAATAGTTTCCTCACTTTTTTAAATATAATTCCACCTAAGCTATGGCATATGAAGATGAGAGGTCGCTGCAATATTCTTAACCCTCTAAACTGGCTGATATACTAAGGGCTTGTGTTCGCTAGCTTACGTGGTCAGGAAGATTTCTTCGTACACTGAGAAGGCGCTCTAGTAGTTCTCTTGCAAAATCACCAATCTCAGAGACTGTCTTGGCAAAGGTAGTCTTAGATGAATAGCCGAAGGTGAATATGCGAGCTTCCGGGATGGCAGAGGGAAGAAAGTCACGAAGCCAGACACTTTTACCGCTTCTCCAGGTCTTTATCGGGTGGCCACCAAGTCCGTGGATGGCGACAATACTGTTGGAAGAGTAAATTAAGAGTTTAGAGTTTGATATGCTACTTGAATGTCTGTAAGTAGGGGTGTGTATACTCAAGGATGGTCTGGACGGCGATATCGGATTTGGGCCAGAGTTGGATCAGCCCAATGTCGCCAGGGGTTAGAGCTTCCATATCTGCCAACAATATCGGGCTACAAGCAATGCGGCTTCGTTCATGAATGAGGGATATTTAATTCCTAAATCTTAGGTGAGGGGAACTGACTATATGTAAGTAAGACGAGCATATTTTGTCTTATCCAATTGCATTTCGATATTGTGACTAGGATCATGCAGCTGACGGAAGAGGCTTGTAGCCCCATAGGACAGCAATCACCATCTGCCACTCCACCAAAAGCAGGAGGGAAACAATGGCTAATAACAAAATTTACTGGCATTCAGCCTTGGAGACGATAGATTGAACTAGTAGCTAGCGAATGCGTCGTTTTGCGATACCATCGCCCTTTGGGATTTTGCTAAGACTATCAACTCAGAACATAGTATAAAATCAGATTAGACAGGTTGTGGATGGGCATATAAATCTAGAAGATGTCGCGAAATCTCTCAACAAACCGCACCGATGCCTCGGTAATTATTCTCGAGGTAACTGACCCTAAAGAGTCAGACGAATACGTCTCTGGTGATATCATGATGAAATCTTTCAACACAAGGGGATCAAGAAAAGACACAGATCTGTTGATTCCAGCCTAACTAAAATAATAAAACGATCGCTAAATTTCAAGGAATTCATTGAAAGTTTTGTCATGAGTATTCTGGACAACAACAAGCCAACAAATCCATTTCTCCCTCTTGCAAGGCTTGGTGTAGGTTGTCAATGCGCGTTTCATCAAAATACCTACCTTTTTGGGAGGCGGCAGGTTCAAAGGCCTAACCAAGCAGAATGACATCAGCGCATGGACTCAAAAGGAAACACCTACGATACTAAGACGGTAATTAAGGTGTGACTATACCAAGATGTGTTCTCTTACAGCAGCTTAAAGGATATCCTAGGACCTACTTCGGCTATACGCCTCGAGACACCTACGAACCCATCTCTCAGAGGGTAAAAGGAGGGCAAATGATTTAAACGTTTCTGTTTCATGATATGCCAATTAAAAGAGTGAACCGGAAAACGATCGGGGCAATCGGTGCCGTCAATGCCGATTGTAACAGTTCTCTAACATCACCTAAATTATGTAACGATCCACTAGACGATGAAACCTGGCGCTTGGGCAGTAGCTGGTCGACAGCTGCACTTTTTCCTTCTGCATCTCGGCTATTGTGACCCGAGAGTGACGATGCCAGCGCAGATCATGATATCCGGGGAGCATCACGGACTTCGGCCCACATCACATATGGGTTTCAAATGGCCCAATACAACCAAACATGGGCCATTAATGCTCGTATTTATGCCCTGGGCGCTTGGCCAAAAGACCAGAGGCTTGAAAGCGTCACCCTCGCAATGCAAAGCCAGGAAAGGACCCCCATGGCTCACTCCACGATGGGCCCTGACCTCAAACGCAGGTATGGATCATCTTACATCCATTCGGCAGATAAGTCTCGCATTGTAAATCGAGACGAGAGGGCATCCTAAGTAATCATTGATGTAGTGCCGGAATTGCTCCATTGAAGTTGAGTGGAGTAATCACCGACTCCTTGAAGATAAATACGCTGGACCAAGCCGTACCAGATTTTCGTTTCTGATCCAGACTCATCTCCTCGCTAAGATACCCACCAGACAATCGTTCTTTTATCCCTTTTTAGCAGGCAGGATCTGCTATTTTTTGTCCCAGAATAACCTTTCTTCACTTCTAGTGACTCCAGGTCATATCAACTACCTTTTCACTGTTGACAGAGCAACCGTAACAAACCGCCAATATGCATATCTATGCTCTCCTAGCGCTCGTTCCTCTGGCTATAGCCGCTCCCCCTTCTTCCTTCCACAAGCGTGGACAGATAGCTCCTCTGGTTGTTCCCCTTGGCGGCAACCACATCCAGGACAAATATATTGTTCGCATGAAAAAGGATACCGTTTCATCTTCTGTTACTTCTGCTCTCAGCTCCATCAAGGCCAAATCCGATTTTGTGTATGCCCACAGCTTTAGTGGATTCGCGGCTACCTTGGATGATGAAGACCTTGCAATCATTCGCAAGAATCCTATGGTCAGTATAAGTCATATTTTTTGGTCTCTCTCTTCCAACTAACGGGTGTCCAGGTTGACTACGTGGAGAAGGATCAAACTATCTATGTTTCTACGACGCAACAAAACGCCCCATGGGGCATTTCACGCCTTTCTTCTAAAACGCCCGGCAGTACCACTTACAATTACGATCCATCTGCTGGTCAGGGCACTTGCGTCTATCTTCTTGACACCGGCATTGCTGTTGCCCACCCCGAATTCGAGGGTCGTGCTACTTGGGCCGCCAACTTCGCTGGTGATGGTCAGAAAGTCGACGGTGTCGGTCACGGTACCCACTGTGCTGGCACTATTGGCTCGAAAACCTACGGAGTAGCCAAGAAGACTCAGCTCTTCGCTGTCAAGGTCCTCGGCAGTGATGGATCTGGAACAAACTCAGGTGTGATCGCCGGTATGGAGTGGGTTGTCAAAAACGCCAACAAGTCCAAGTGCCCCAAGGGTGTTGTTGCAAGCATGTCTCTTGGTGGTGGGTTTTCTCAAGCTATGAATGACGCCGCTGCCGCTATCGTCGATGCCGGAATTTTCCTTGCTGTTGCGGCCGGAAATGATGCTGCCAACGCCGCTCAGACTTCTCCTGCTTCCGAGCCCAAAGTCTGCACTGTTGGTGCTTCTGATGTGAATGACCGCATTGCTGAGTTCTCCAACTTCGGCAAAGTCGTTGATGTCTTTGCTCCTGGTGTTGGCATTTTATCCACCATACCTGGAGGCCGTACCGAGAAAATGTCGGGCACTTCAATGGCCACTCCTCATATTGCAGGCCTTGCTGCCTACCTCCTCGGTACGGGTCAGAAGGTCGCAGGTTTGTGCGATTATATCAAACAGACTGGCGTTCAAACTTTGTCCGGTGGCCCCAACGGCACGACCAGGACCATTGCCAACAACGGTTATTCCGGTAACAGCCAGCGGTCATACTTTAACCTGATGTAATTGCACTCGCTCGTTGCTAGGATGAGTCACTCCGTGGAACTCGATTGGAACCCCTTTGCACCTTCTTGCAACCTTTGTAGGAGGATTTCCTTTCACTTCTAGCATCAGTTGGCAATATTGGAAAGAGAGGAAAGGGAAACAACATGAGTTCAAATGACTAAGAAGAGACTCCAGGAATTATTTCAAGCCAAATTCTTTCACAATGTATTTCAATGTATTTTACGTGGGTAGCTACAATCTAGCGAACAGATTTATCAGCCATTATCTTGATTGAAGTTAAAATTGATACATCACCTAGGTAGTTTATGACATGGCATTCAAATATACAAGTGCTACTAACTTCTAGCTTTGCTACAATCATCAATCCCCATACGTCGATGTAGACCGATGTTGTACTTAATTGTGCACAATCACGGAAAGAGCCATAGATCACGCTTTGGCAACCTCTATCACTCAGCACGCAACCAGTCTCGCATGTGGCCAAGAGCTTCATCATGCCTGAAAATACCACAAGATGGTTCTGAGAACTTCTGCACTGTGTTTTGCGAGGTTCTCTCAATCGACTCATGGTGATTGGGTACGAGTTGGCTTGCTTGTAAGACCAAGATACCTGGAGGCGGACACGGCGAGAATTGAAGGGTGGAGCCATACGAGGCACTGGAATGAGCGGTGCTTTAGTTCTCATGAGTGTTTTCGTATCCGCATCACATTGATGATGGGATAACAATTAAGACTGAATGATATCTGCAAACACAATTCAAAGTTAATATCAATCATTTGACTGAGCCTGCGTGGTAACAACATAACTATACAGCGAAATTATTATGTCCCCGCGATGCGAGCTATTGTTATCAATCCATTCCAATCCTCTTCAGCTGAAGTGGATTCCTTACAGTGTCCGCATCCACGGTGACATCGTCAGATAAGTGTTGATGACCAATTGAGGCTGCCCGTGGGCTATCTGTACATGCATTACCCCTGAAACGATCAGCAATCAGTGACAATTCTGGAAGCTGTCTAATTGATGTTCGAAAGCCAGCATCCTGTAACAAATATCACGTAATTAACCACAGCCCACAGAGAGGGCCCCTGCAAGTCTTCGAGCATACGTGTGCTCTGTTAACCTCGCTGTCTGTATGAAGTAAAGTAATACGCCTAGAGCTTTCCGCCTTCATCGTTTGGTACTCGGAGTTCTCCTACGGCATGTGGAGTATGGCGCCTCGCTTTCTAAGCCCCCCTCCGCCCACGCCGGAGCTGAAGATAGAGGCATGCACGATGACATTTGACAATCAAAAGAACCTGCGGACTATTTCATGTTTGATGTTTTGACCGCTGACCCTTGCCGGCACCCGTGAATTGGCTGATGAGGCACATCTCGACCTGCTCAAGCCCGCTGCCGATCGCCGAGACAATGGCTCAACATGGCCTAGTAACCCACGACCTGCCGGATTTGTGTTTGCCGATCGTCCTCCTTGATTCACATGGCTTCGAAACAGCCCTCTCACTGGATGGCTTAATGCTGGTGGAGATCGCGTGGAGGCCAATGCACGGGCATTGAGGTGACATACTAACCTGGAACATGCTGACCTTTTGGATCATCATGGCCTTTTGTTGTGGCGGCATTATGGGGCTGACACGGGGACTGCTTTACTTATAAGGAAGCGGGTGTCTCATCTCGTTCGCAGTACTCAGCCAACCCAGCACGCCTCTCCAGTCTCTCATTTCAGGTCCTAAATCTAAAGTAGTCGTCAAGATGCAGTTCTCTCTCGCCGCCCTTCTCTCCCTGGCTGTCGCCGTCAGCGCCGCTCCCCACACTCGCGCTGGAGAGGCCGCCACCTGTGGCAGCAACGACTACTCTGCCAGCCAAGTCTCTGCCGCTGCTGATGCTGCTTGCCAATATTACCAAGACGGCACAACTGCCGGTAGCTCTACCTATCCTCACCGTTACAACAACTACGAGGGTTTTGAGTTCAAGGGCTTGAGCGGTCCATTCCAGGAGTTCCCCATCAAGACAAGCGGAGTCTACACTGGCGGTTAGTGCTCCTATTTGAGTTTTGATCTCTTGAATTCATACCAATTGCTAACATTTTTATTCTATGATTAGGCTCCCCCGGTGCTGACCGTGTCGTTATCACTGAGGATTGCCAGTTTGCTGGCGCCATCACGCACACTGGTGCCAGCGGCAACAACTTCGTTGCTTGCGATGGTACATCCTAAGCAACCCTTTTAACCAGCGCATTGATTAGGACAAGGTTGGGGAGATAGATTATGAGTGATTTGTATATATGATGATACAATCGATACGAGTGATGCCGTATATAGAGCAAGTAAACATTCATCAAATAGCCACGCATGGCATTCAGTTACGCTCTGGTTACCCAAACCAACTGTTTTTTCACCCTGGATTGTCTATTTGATCTCTACATCGCTGGTTACTTGAATGCATACCTTCAGGGTTAGAGACCTAAGGATTATCAGATCACTAAGTCAATCTAACCTGGGCAGAAACAAGGAGAAGCCAAGATGCCTCCGACAGTCAATACAGTCGCCAAATCGACAATATGTTTCCATATAAATCATGATCTTCAAAAGGCTAACACCATACAAAGCAGCACATCTAGGCAATAGATATCGTAATAGGATGTTGTTGACTCCTTATTGTGGTCTTTGGTGTGGTCGATTGCCCCTGTACCTGTTTGTCTTTAGGTGTTCAGTTCCTTGATGTACCTGCCTTCGATAACTTATTGGTTTCTCTGAAATGTCCCCCAGGTACTACCATTAAGTGAAGATCAGTCAAAGAATATCACTCTCCCTAAAGTATCTAATATATTGTGATGGGATGCATTGACACAAAACTTGATAAGTTCAATGTTAAGCTTTCAGTGTAGTGATCTGCTGTGGGAGAGACGAGCATATCTATTTCTTTTCCTGATTGGCATGATAATTTAAATTCTAAACGTCACAGAGCATACGTTCTCTCTTAATTGACATCTTATGTCCAACATATTTACTGGCCTGCGCCGAACTGTAGGATGACTAGGAAATAGTTAGGAGGGGATTTATAATACATAACATTCGTTTCACCACAAGCACGGGAATGCAAAATTATAGGAGTGACGCAACGCGTAGGCATGCCTGACCTTTATGGTAATAGCTTATAGATAGAAGAAACCTCACATATACAGAAGATCTGGATAATCACTTAATTTCTCGCCATACTACAAAAATTAGACTGTATTTGTGTAGGATCCAGTTTCATGAGAGTAAGCCGCCTATTAACAACTTTCTTCACTAATGATCCTTTCCTGAGAGGCCCCCGAAGACTGAAGCGTAGTTTTTCCTGTCCAGAGCGAACTGTCATTGAGCGAATATTTATGTTGCTTTTTTAAAGGTGGAGATAGCGGGGGTATGGTGCTGCTTCGTGCCGTTGAAGACTCCAATGCATAGGCCTCCGCGCCACCGCTCGATCGGAGTTTTGACGACCATATAGATGATAAACTAGAGGACCAGGAATAGAATACTTCGAAAAGTGGCGACAAGACAGGGATGGAACACGCTATCGTGATGGTCGTCCCCTCGATTCTTCGACGAAAAAGAAGCGTTAGAGATAGGGGAAGGAAGGAAAGGGTCAAGTACTCACGTCGTCCATTTGATCAACTCAGTTATAAACACTGTTGATAGTTAGCATGTATCCGCTTGAAATAGAGGTCAATATTGAAACTAACATGGGTAAACAGCATATGAAGAGTTCCTTTTGGCGGCAACTGTAATGCGATAAATAGCAACCGCAGCAGAGCTGTGCAAACCCGATCTATCAGTCTTCAGTCACTCTACAAATCGGTAGAACTGGGACAGTACCATAACCCTATGCCAAGTGTGATAGAAAGGCCAATTCTTTGTCGGAGTTTCATGTTGAGTTGGAAAATAATAATAGCGGGATAGACAGAGAGATATATATCAACGAAAGCAGAAAACACTAGATGCGGTCACAGTTAGCGGATATGCTTCCCTGTATAGATAGTCTGGTTCGAATCCACATGCCTTGACAGTATATGCTAAAAGCGGACAATGATCTTGCCATCGAAGTTGAACAATCGCTGGATTGTTGATTGGGTTGCCACAAGCTTTCTATAGGATTGCATTGGAACATCATCGCGATGCTCAAGGTAGACTGGGACAGAAGAGACCAGATGGCCATCCACAACATGAACCGCTGATTCCAAAGGGAAGGACGCAAAAGTCGTACAAGGAATGTTGCGATAGCCAGTTTAGGTAGCGAAGCGGACAGGGCCCCTACACAGAGGGACAAGAGCTGCCAGAACTTGGCGTCTCTCCATTGCTGTGCAGTAGCATATGGAAAAGCTTTTCCATCAAAACTGTTCATAGCAATCTGGAGGAAAGCGCACGAGATTATAGAACATGTCTAGCTCGGGAAAAGATAATGTTAAAGACAATACTCATAGAAGGGGATTGTAAATAAAAGATGGTTCGTACAAGTCCTCCAATGCACCAGAAGTCATGGCCAAACATCTCCTTGTCCCACCTCACCCTCGCAATGATTCGAGTGATGAGGAAACCAGCGGCCAAACCTGTAAAAGCCCAGCATACACCGACCGTGTCTATATTCGTGCCGTCGATGTTGCTGACATTGTATAAATCGGAGTTTTCTGGCGTTGCTGATGATGCCATCGTGGGACTGGAGAATGAATGACGTTCGCTTTTGCTCGGGAAACCGAGAAGAGGAAGGAAACTAGTAGGGATCATTCTCTAGCAACCAGTAGATGCAGAGGTATTTATTTGTCTACAAGGCTTGCGGGGAACTCTGCTGAACCGGACCCGAGCGGCTGTGTCCCCGTACCAATCCTACCCATCCGACGTCAGCAAGTCAGCACATCAGCTGCATTTCGGGGGCAAAGGCCATGGGGCATCATGTCTTTGCCATTTCTTTTACTAGATCTATCGCGAATAAATATACGGTTCTTTATAGAAGTCAAATTTTAGGACAGTGATGTATAATTGACGTAAAAGGCACTTCGGTTAGAAAATGAGGATGCTGATCTTTCTCCCGCATGGAAGATAAGCACTCCGTATGGCAATCCGTATGGGTTGCCCGAAGCTGACCATCCAGAATCATGTATTAGGAAAAGCGAAAATGCATTTTGGTTACATTCGGTTAGACCTTCTTACTTATCATTACGAATAGGGAATTCATTCAACGCCACCACCAGTATCCCATTGCCACGTGTCTCAGGAGAGGCCATTGGTGAAAATGCTACATACGGGCAATAGAATCAAAATCAATAATTTGCCAAGTGGTTACCCGAATGAGTATCCAAAAGGTCTCTGATAACACTGCCTATACCGAGGGAAGATTGCAAATACATGTTGTGTAAGATTAATATGATAGGGATGAGTTGGACAGAGCTGTGACTATTACTCAATAGCTAGAGTGAATTAATTACTGCTAATAATTATATATGAATTGTTATACAATAAATTTAAAGATTATGATTGTCTTCCTCAGCCACATGCATCTACGCCCTAGAAGAACCAAACCGAAGAGAAAAAAGAGCCAACTCACAGCTAACATTACCGAATGTGAACTAGGCCTAGATGCCAAAAGAAAATAAATCAAGACTCTTATTTCTGCTATCACGTAGCTTTTTATCAAGAATCCTGTTGTATTAAAAAACCATTCTTACGATCCTGAGTATAACATTCGTCTTGAGTTTAGGGAATTTGGAAGGTTCAGGAGCGAACTTGTCATTAGATAGGACACAAGTTTGCAATGGCAATTTAGCTACTACCTAGGTTACAGGAAATACAGCACTTACTCATCTTCATTTCTCTAAGCTATCACCATATTTTACTTCGACAGTGTAGAGCCGAGCGGTCTTATACCCGACAGGCGGGTTGATGGTGCTGAAATTTGGATCTTGTTTTTTTCAACGGCGAAGTTTATTGGACAAGTAATTAGAGCTAGTATCTCCCAGAGTGTACCAGTTTCAAAGCTACCCGCCTGCGGTGCTATGCTCTACCTTTTCAGAGAGGCTCACGACCCCTTTAGATAAACTGATAACTCTCTCGCGGGGTGAGGGCGGTGGGCACGGGGCCAGTGGAATCCTGGCTGGTGTTGTTCTCTTGGAGCGCCGTCGATAATAGCGTAATCGCCAGTGACATTTTGTTCCGATCTCTCTTCTGATAGGACAGCACCGGACGATGTCGTTGGCTAACCTGGTGTCCTTTAGGGGCTCAACACCTTCACGGAGAAACGTGGTGGGTTCGGGAGACTGGTGACGGGACGGCTTAGGATTGCCCTTCAACGGCCTTTTCTCAGGCCTTCTCCGGTTTTGGGACGGAATGCGAGCCCTCCTTTCTTGCTGGGGATCTATAACGGCATGGCATGAGCGCGGCTGTGTTGTTGCTGAATGAGGCGGGCGATCACGGTGATCGCCAGGCGGTATTTTATCGGCTCCTGGTTGTGTACTTACGGGCTAATTACATTTTGTCCTTCGAGTACAGGTAAGGGGGCAAGACAAGCCGGGGGCATGGTCAACTCTCGTCTGAAGTCTGAGGAGGGTGCGGTGATGACAAAGCCATTGAAAAATACGTTCTACCAGGCCGCGAAGCAATCTCCTCATCCCTTAAAATCTGATAGAAACGGGCCGTAACTTGATTCGAATATCCATTGTTGAAGTTCTGAATTATTGTGGTTTGCTTTTGCTGGTCATGGGTAGAAAACGTTAGCGGGTGTGAATGTTGCCTCTTCCTCTTGTGTTCGTGTCTTCGGGGTGAGTGTTGCCAGAAATAAACCACGCACACGATGAAAGCACCCTCTCGCCCTTACTAGATCTTGAATCAGCAAGGCTGTTTTGACTAGGGTCATAATCATGTTTACGTTCTTCAACTTTCCCCTCCGGATATCAGCACCATATTCCCACCCCTGCTAGTGAGCAGTCTGCTTCCAGCCGTCAACCCGGCATACATAGCAGGTAAAATCGTGTAGCTTCGAACGTGGACAAACTTTCACATGACTAATGAGTTGCTGGCTCTTAACTGTTTTCATCTACGGTTAAAAAAGTCTCTTGTATTAGACGTTGTTTCTATTATTTATTTTTACCTCCTACTGATATCATGATAGAATACTTGACGTAGATAACCGTGAATAGACAGAAAAATATACGTTAATATGCAATAAATCTCTAGAGTACTCTGCTCTGCTTGAAAAATCCCAATCTAGACCGTGTATCGGAAGAAGGTGGCGTTGTCACCATTGTCCGCCTCAACCTCCTTCTCCTGGCGGGTATAGCTCTCGGGGGCCTTGTGAGCAGCGTCTCGGCGCTTGTTCTCGCGGCGGAGGTAGAGAGTCATGAAAATGCAAAGGAGACAGCTCATGGTGGTAGTAGACATGAGGAGCAGGTGGCCGGGGCGGTAGTGAGGAGCATCCTTGGGGAGGTAGGCGAAGGCAGAGATTGTACCGCCTAGATTGCCGAATCCGACGTGCATCTGAACTCAAATTAGCAAGCCGTCTTAGTCTTTGTCATCAAGTTGGCGTCACTTACCGCGATTCCGACACCACGCTTCAGAGAACCACCTATACAAAAATTAGCATAACTCGCCCAAAACTCATCCAGAAAATTGGCTCATTTTGATCGTACCGATGTTGTTACCATTCCAGGCGACTCCGCCGGGGACATTTGGGTAGATTCCGCATGTAATAAGGAAACATCCGGCGTATTTGGCGCCGTTGTTCTCAACTCCGGCCAGGAGGGCGAATCCGAGGATACTATGAGAGCCAATCAGTTTAAGTGGGTCCCAGAAACGGACAGAAAGAATACTTACGCGACGAGGCAGAAGAAAATCATGTAGATACCACGCTGTCCGTGTCTATCGGCGAGATATCCGCCGCCGATGGTGCAGAGGCAGGCGGCGATGTAGGGGGGAACGGTCATCAGCTGGGCAGTCTCGGCGGTGTAACCCAAACTCTTCACGACGGTGGGCATAAAGACGGAAATGGAGTACAGGGGAGTGTAAATTCCGATAGTGATGAGCATGTGGACGTAGATCTTCCAATCGGTGAAGGCCTGCCACATGAACTTCATATCGAACCTGTCGGAGAGGACGGAGCGGTCCTCCTCGAGGCGGCGGACGATCTCGCGCTTCTCGTCATCGTTGAGGAACTTGGCAGTGTCGGCATAATCGTACATGGCGAAGTAGGCAACGATGGCTGTATAGGGGGTAGAGGGTCAGCCACCATCACAGAAAGTTTCGGGTCGGGGAACATTACCGATAACAAAGGTCAGGAGACCCTCAATGATGAAAATCCATTGCCAGCCGTGGAGATTGCCCATGCCCTCCATCTTCATGATACCGAAGGCCAAGAGACCACCAAAGGCACCGGCGGCGGTGGCGGCGGAGAAGAAGATGGCCATGCGCAGACCGCACTCATGGCGCCTGTACCACAAAGAGATGCTTCACATCGTGTTAGCCAAAAAATTACCAGAGACAAAAAGAATACAGCGTCAATTGACGCCATGTTGTCTGAGACTCACTAGTAGGTGATACCAGGGAAGAGACCACCCTCGGCGATACCGAGGGCGCAACGAGCAGCGAGCAGGCCAGGGAAGTTGTGGACGATACCGAGAAGGGTGGTGACAATTCCCCATGCGACCATGATGCTGGGAATCCAGATGGATGGGCGCCAGCGCTTCATGGCCATGTTGGAGGGGATCTCGGCCGCGACATAGAAGGGGAAGAAGACGGCGACGGCGATCTAATTGAGAACGTCAGAATCAACTCCTCACCAACGATAACCCGTTAATTCTTACATTGTAGTCCAGGCCGCTCATGCCCAGGGCCGGCTCCATGTTGGCGAGCTTGGCATTGCCAATGTTGGTGCGGTCAAGGAAGGACAGGAGGTAGAGGACGGAGAGGAACGGCAAGAGATACTTGTCGCATTTGCGAATGAGCTTCTTAGTGTCGCCGATGCCGAAGCCGGCGTTCTCGACCTCACCGATGGAGGCATCGGTGTCGTTGTTGTGCTTCTCCGTGGACGAAGTCTCCAGCTGTGAGGCCTTCGACACGTCGTGCTTATCGTGGGAGCCGAGCATCGTGAGATGTGGGCGAGGACGACTAGGTCACTCCGAGTGAGGTTGGGTGGTGGGAATGTACAGTCGCAACAAACACCAGGCTGAGCGTATGTGCGCGTGCTGATCGGCGTCTGTGTGATGATGAGGGAAGGGAGGAACAAGAAGAGGGGAGGTCATTATCAGGGGGGCATGAGGAATGTTTTATAACTTTATTAAAGAGTCTGACAATAGCTAGGAGGGGCAGCGAATATCAGTTCCAACTCCGTCCAGAACGAACGGGAATCACTGTGGATCTGCCATGGTGTCTGCGCAAAGGCTGCTGGGAGGTAGATGCATTGCGACCGCACTGGGCTCGTGGCTTTGGCCTGCCGTCCTATCTCTTACAATATTGGCGGCTGATGTGCAGCCATGGATGGATATTCGGCCTCCCTTGGTCCGGATTCCCCAAAAACCGGTTAAGAAAGCCAATCATATATTCGCCGGGCAAGACTAAGACCACGGAGACCATGTCAACAAGCGCCTCCAGGGGGAAGGGAAGAAGTGGTGGCTGAGGATGGGGGAGCGAATGTTGAGGGTCAGTGTGTGTATAGCGGTGGGAGA